CCTGCTGAGAAGCTTTAGAGCAGGAATTAATTTTCTTTGTGCCGTAGTCTGCTGTTTGTGCTTTTGGATTTCATCCCCGTTTTCTGTTACCCAGTTCTTTCTGTCTTGGCCACTTGTATTCTATATTGGCGACAAACTACTTTCATTAGCATAGTCCTATCCTTTTAGAATCATCAACAAAAATACTGTGTAGTTGCATGTAATGCTAAAGGTATTCTGGTGGTATAAACTTCCTGTACCAGAGTGCCCTTGCTCTTGAATTGATGTAGATCAGAGGAAGTTTAGCACCACATTTCACAGTATCTAGTCCTGAGTTTTCCTTCCCTGCTTTCTCCTAGGAACATCTGTCATCTTTTCTGCAAAGATTGCGTGTGAGGAGCCTGGTTTTCTGATTTCTCAAATACCATGTGTTAAAATATTGCCCACTGCTCTCTCAAGATTCATAAAAGATTTAAAGAATTCCTGAATTCCTGTTCTGTGACTTACAGCAGTCTATTTGCTGAGAACTGGAATAGTGATAGTTTTTTGTTTTTATTTGCAGTTTTGGAGAGTTGGCTGGATTATACAGGAGAGCTGGAACCACCAGAACCACTAGCTCGACTACCACAACTCAAACATTGTATAAAGCAGCTTATAACGGACCTAGGCAAAGTGCAGCAGATTGCACTTTGCTGCTCAACATGAGACTAAAAAACGTCGGAGACTGTTACTGAGTGTAAAGTTGGAGCATCTGATGTGAACAGCTCTGTATATTTAAATTAAATTAGCATGCTAGTTGCATGTGATGCAGATTGACTTCAGGGATTTGTGAAGAAGTCCTGTTTAAAGAACAGCAGAAAGGTTATTTTATCTCATCATAATTTTTGGTTTATCAGGCAATTGTAATGATACGGAAGAGGTCATACTGTTGTCTTTGGAGGTTGGGTGTTGGCTGATAAATTATACTTAAATTTTCACTCTTTACAAGTTGCTCATTGAAATGGTAGACTTTCTCGTAATCAAATTGACTAAAAATTGTGCCACTGAAGAACAGAGTTCTAAGAGCCAAAAATGTTTAGTAGACAGAGGTTGTAAATAACTTTGCATAGTTTAAGTGACTTGTGTCATGTTTTATTCCTTCTGGTTTATGCATAATAGCACACAGTATTTAATCATTAGGAAATGTTATAACAGTTTTCAGACTTAGTAAGTATGAATGTCCAGCTCCTAACTATAAACTGTTACGTGGAGGTTTGCAGGTAACAGTGGTGTAAACTCCACTTCTATTAAATAATGTAGCAGAAGGTCACAGGTGGATTGCACTTGTTTTCAGAATAAATGATTGTTTTCCATATTTATCCTGTCGCTATCACATGACTTGGTACTGGGGAAACCCACTAATGTTGTGTTTATGTGTGTTCTTGAGCTCTTAAATATGGCCATACTGTGCCTCCTGAAGCAGTGCTAGTGGGACACCCTTGTGGTGGTACGAAATGCTGCCGTGAAAAGACTGGAGATGCACTTGGAGTTCCAGACTTTGACAAGGTCTGTAATGGACGTTATGTAGTTTTCTACCCATTTGTTAATAATTGCCATTCCGGTTATATTTTGAAATGTAGACTTTTTTCAACACTCTGAATGTGTTCATTGTAAAGACTTACTATGAATGAGTGGTTTTGGGAATCAGTTTATTTTATATTTGTGTAAATAAAGCCTCAAGATCTATGCATGAGGTACTGTCCTCGCAGACAGCGAGTGGGTTGTTATCTTAAAACAGTGTATGTCCACAAAGTCCCTTTTTATACCTTAAGTTTTAATTTTCTGGTTTGTATTACTTTGTGAAAGCAAGGTGAAAATGCTGCTTATGTTCAAGTCACATTATACAGTACCTTTTGAAATGTTGGTGTATTGTAAGTATTTGAGACGTTAAAAGTCCTTTTCAGCTGCAGATCATAGCTCCATAAATAACGGCTGTGACTTTGCCAGGGGAAAACAGTAAACTGTTTTTGCAGTGAGAGGGTATCCTTAAAAAGCTGGATTTGTTACCTTGATTTTACAGTGTGTGATGGTACCACCAAAGGGTAAAAATTAGGCACAGTTGTAAGTGAAAGGCCCATAACTGTACAAATTATTAATTTTGCATATGAATCTGTAATGTTTGTATACTGCAAAGAATAATGTAAATTTGAAATAGCCACAATATTATTGTAGGAGTTAACCATATCTACACAGTGAATATTTTATTTCCTTCAGAAAACAAAATAATTAGGCTACTCTACATAGTAACTAAGGCTTTTGTGCCAAGACTCATTTCAAGGAATAACTTGTCTCACAGTTTTATAGTACTAGTTGGTATATAGTGAATAAAACATATGTACAGCAGAAAAATAAACTTATTTTTCTGTAACACAATTGGAATAAAGCTTACGTGATATTGAAGATTCACTTCACTCTTTGCAGATGAGAACAGTGGTTATACCTTGTGTTGTTTGTTAATGACACCTGAATTCATGTATACTGTGTAGCTCTAGAACAGGCAGCAGTAACCAGACAACCAGAACAGCATCAGAAGGAGCATCCCTAGACAACTGTGAAGGTTTTTAGGTGGTTTTTTTTCAGGTGAGGTTGACCAGAAGGGTGTTCCCTGGTTGAAATCTATAAAGAAAGCACTCCAACCGGGTGTGTCTCAAGAAGAACATGGCTGTGTTAGTTAACAAGTCAGTTGTGCTTACAGTTTGAGGGTGTGAAAGCAGTTAAATTCCTGAGCAGACTTTCTCACTCCGGAGTGGAACTTCTCCTTCCCAAGCAATTGCTTTTTGTGTGTTCATTGTATATTTGTACTTTGCCAGTTTCTTTTTGCTCAGGGCAGTACTTAAAATTTGGAAGAAAAGATGGTTCTGATAGGTGAATCGAATGGCAAATACTGGAGACTTGTTTTCCTTTAGTAGAGCTAGGGAAGCCCTTGCAGTTGAAGACTGAAAATATTTATTTAAAATAGAGTAGCATTTCTCATGTTCAGGAAAGATTCTTTATTGTGCTCTGCCTGGATTCATTTTTGTCCCTGTTTTTGCAAGTTTCCACATTGTTATTTTTTAGTCTGGACCAACTGTTTGGTCTGGTAGGTCACTTTTTGTATTTCTTTAAATCACTGGTAAGCAAATGCAAGTGGAGCCTTGTTGAAATGAGCAAACATTGCACTGTGGATACATAAGTATATTTGTCTTTGTTTATGCACTATTAGAACCGAGGGCGCTGTATATAGGATTTTGCTTTGGAGCAATATTTGCAAAACTTGAAAACTTCTGTATCTTGGTGTTTGGAATAAATAAATAGGTTTTTGTTGGTTAACTATTAGTAAAGTCTTTGTTTCAATTAATGACTATTCAATAAAATAATTTTGTACTTTTTTCTTTACAGCATTGAAATGCAGGTGCTGTAATTTGACAGGAATATAGGTCTTAACTGTTCCTGAAGTATGGAAATTACTGTTTTCCAGATCTGTCTCATGTAAATATTCTTAGTAGGTAAACTGTTATGTATTGTTATATGTTGGATATTGTTTTAGTGAGGAGCTTGTACATTTTATACTAGGTCCTAATATATATAACATATATTAGGATTTGGGAATATGTAATCGGACCCTAATTTTTTGTTCCTGTTTCGATGAATAGCCTACCAGGGCTACTGCTGAGCACTTGGCCATGTTGATGAGAGAGGGGCAGCTGGTTCATCCCTCTGACGATGCATTTCACAAGAGATGAGTCAGAGCTGCTCTAACCAGAACAGCGCAGCACTGTTGCACCTAAAGGCGTGTGTACGAGACTTCCTGCCAGGAGACAAGCATGAAGCCAGGATGCTCGTTCCAAAAGTGCAGAGGCCTGAAGGTGTAGCTTCCCTGAAAAGTTCCTAAGATGAGCTGAATTAGGACAAGTGCTGTCAGCTGTACAGCACAAACTGCATAGAGAAAAATATGTAACTTCTATACAATTTTCAAGTTGAATTGTGTTTTGCCCATGCAGCAGCAGCAGCTAGCAGTCAGATAGGTTTAGGAGGGTTAAGCTGGAAGGGAACAACATGTGGGTGCTGCACCCATGATGTTCTCCTGAAAGCTGCTGTCATACTTCTGGGCAGCAGCAGCAAGCTTGGTGTACAAGCTGCATAACTGCTGTGTGAGGGAGTGCTGCTTTAGTATTAGCGCAAAGGAAGGAGCTTTTGATGTATTTAAACAACCCATACAGAGAAAATCCATAGCAGGGAAGGGGAGAAGCTGGGGAGAAGCTAGGAAGTGCTGGAGAGGAAAGTGTATCTGGCACAGGGTGTGCCTGAAGGCAGGGGCAGGCATCAGTGTGCCTTTAGATGCATTTTTGTTTCCATCTCTTCCCCTCTTGCGGGAGAAGGATGGACTTCACAAC